GTTTCCCGAGAAGCCACCACTGCATCTGCACTGCACCGCCGTGATTGCAAGCCATGTACATTTCACGCGAGACTTTGGATTGGAGAAAGTCTCGAACTACTACTGTTGGCTTAGGTTTTAGAGCGGATGCGTATCTTTGCTTCACTCTCCAAATAATCATGACTCCAAAGCCGGCGTCGTAGGCAAGGTCTCGTCGAAGGTTAGACTCCAAAACGTACAGTGCAAATGTCAAACTACTCGGCAGAACCCTTATGAAACAAGTTTTATTATGTACATCGTTGCTCATGTAGATATAAACCATGCGCTCGCCAGTATGCAATGTTTTAATAACTCAGTATTATGGCTTATGCCTTTCATGTAACAATCATGTTAAATCTCGTTATTTGCCTCCGCGTCGATATCAGAAAATGCAAAGCAAAGCTAAATCGGCCCAGCGCTCGCCCAGCGCACGCTCGTTTAATCCTGACCTTGGCACTAAGTGCTAGAGACGGTTGACGTAACTCATGCAATATTGAGAGCTGAACAGAAACTATAAGGATCCAATCCATCCTGCTGAAATAAAAGCAAAGGAGTCATTGTTTGTCAGTGAGACTACTGCTGCCTGTCCTTTGAGCCAGTCAGGCCAAGTCGTTCGACGCCAGACCTAGCACTTTGAATGGCCGACCCTTCTTCGAGATCCCAAGCCTCTACGGTGCCATTCATTCTTCCTAACAGAAGTACTTTGGTATCGGCAGAGAAGACAGCAGCAGTGACCATGCTTCCAACACTGTCATTCTCGCGGCCTTCCCAAGCGATAAGTCCCGAGGCGACATCGACAACATCGAAGCCATTTTCAGTGCGATTTACCATCCAGCGCAGATCCGGAGAGATGCAAAGGGGCCAGCCCTCTGTGGCGCGGGTGGCATTGAGATTGTACGAAGTGAGGTAGTTGGTCTGCGGGAGCCAGATATGAACCATGGTTCCCCAAAGTGACACAATGGTTCGTCCATTTGGGCAAACGGCCAGCTGGCGTGGATTGGTTGATCCGCGGCCCTCGATTTCGAGCTTCGTGATGGTCTTGGCAGTCCTAGGGTCCGTGACGCGAACCGTGCCGTCGCGGGAGAGCGTAACAAGCTTGTGATCGGGCGTAAAGGCAGCGTGGGTAATCTTGTCTATGTGACTGACAACTCTGCCGAGTCTAGCACCCGTTCGTGCGTCCCACACTCCCATTCTTCCGTTGCCTTCACCAGCCGCAATAGCAATGCCATCTCTGCTCCAGACGACAGGCCCAGAAACAGCCCCCTTTAATTCAACGATCATCTTGCCTGTGCAAAGGTCCCGAACTAATACGGTGCTGCCATGGTGATATTCCACACCCTGGCCAACTTGCACAGTCCAATCCCGGATGGTTGCAACTCGGTTCTTAGCAGCCCCCGCGGGTGCAAGAGCAGCGTGAGAGCCGGTGACTTTGGTGTAGCCCTTCTGGCTGGAAAGGTCAAAAACGTCAACCCACGACTGACCGGTGCTTGGGGTGGCATAGACGCTGAATGCGGACGCCAAAGAAGACGAAGTAGGAGACATGCCCACAGAAGTAATCTCTGTCTTGGCGGAAACGCATTGGTAACGTCGTATAAGTGTTAGTTCTGAAGGCGGGGCCTCGGGCATTTCTGAAGGAGAGGACCTGGGAAACCGTGATTAGTTTTGTTTGCACGAAAAAGAAATTCGTATTTTGCTTGATAGACGTGAGCACCTACATGATGAGAAGTCTAAAATAAGTCGTTTGCCTGGATGGCTCGCGAGCGTTTAGTACTCTTAAGCGATGGGTTTCCGAAGGGTATTTCGTCAGCCACTACAAGACAAATGATGCGAACGCGTTGGCAGGGTTGATGAGTGGTTATGTGTGTTGATGGCTTTCGAATTATATATATTGATTCGCCTAATGTATGTGCTGATGATGCAGAAAAAGAACGGCTGAAAACTGGTGGGTGAAACGCATTCTTAAGTTTCCCAACGCAAGATGAAGTTTGGACTTCATCGTGATAACTTTCCCCACTTGCGACATATTGGCAATCACGGTTATTTCTCGAGAGATGATTCAAACAAAGCCATCCCGATATCGAAATGGAAAAAACTGGTCACTGCCCGGTATGCAGCCGCCGAGAGCCGAGTGACAAAGCGGCTATGGGCCACATTGCTGATCAAACGACAACGACCTCACTGACAAGCTGACGCCAGGAAAACAAGACTATGACACGCCCGCCGCTAAAGAAAGAATCTGGTTGGGCCTTGGCCGAGATTTCGATTATCAAAGCGGCAGGGACTCCGCACTGGGAGGGCTGAAATGTGGCTGACAGGGTATGGCGCTGAAGTTTGGAGGACACTCTTGATATGAAGCTTAACAATACGGAGTATGGCTAGCCGATGGTGTACTGCTCTTGTGCGTCTGCTGCACATCAATTAGCGTTTGCCAGACCTTGAGAGATTGGAAATATGCCAGGGCAACAAACTCGTCACAGCGCTCAAACACTAACAGCTGTTAGTGCACGTGTAGACAAGTACTTGCCCTTCCAAATTGAGTTCGCCGAAAGAACATATCACCAATGCTTCTACTACTGTTCCAGGAATCTGGTTCCGAGTGACTCATGTGGTGCAACCGTGCAAAAGGATGCAGGACCCTGGATGAGAATGAATGAGAACGGATTTGACAGGCCAGCTTCGCGGCAAAACGTGGAGCAGGTTCGGCGAGGCTTCTTCGGCGAGACCAGTCTGGACTAGCGTAACCGATTGCGGAGACTGGTGATGGACGACGGAGTAGCACCACCGAAAAGGCTGCAATATTGGAAACTGAATATGCTGAGACAGCGGCTTCTGTTCATGGTTGTTTCATCCGATTCAATCTTCACCTGACGGTGCGGAGTTCTAGTGTGCAGAAAAAGATAGCACGCAATACGGAGTAGCAAATCGGCAACAACCAGTTGACGTCCTGTGGCTCCTTCCCCAAACCGCCAACCAAGACATCAAGGTTCCCATTTGGCTGTTGCACAAATTTAAAGTCCACACGTTGCCCATCATCTTTCGCATCATATCCAGACAACATCCTCATCAGTTGCCAAATGCCTCGTCATAACCCGTCATGCAGGATCGATAGCGCACGCTGCTGTTCTTCAGCTTGGCCATGGCCTGCTGCAGGCCCTCCCTTGAGATGGGAATCTCCTCCACCCATGATTTAATGCCCTTCTCTGCAGCAAGCTCGAACATTTCCAACATCTCCCGGCGGCTTCCCAAGTGCGAGCTTCCAATGAAGCAGCCATTTGAGATGAAATCAAAATTATTCACCTTGATGCCTTCACCACCGGGTAGGCCGACAGAGTTCCATCGGCCATGGACGTCAAGCAGGCTCAGGTACTCGCTGAGCTGGAAGCCGTCGAATGAGTTGGCCGTGTTGATGATGAGATCAAACGTCATCTTGTGCGGCTCGTTCCAGCCCTTCTCGCTCGTGGCCAGGAATCCATCAGCGCCCATCTTCTTGGCATCCGCCTCCTTGGCCCGTGAGCGGGAAATGGCCCAGACTTCGGCTCCCAGCGCCTTTGCGAACATGACGGCGAAGTGTCCAAGACCGCCGATGCCAACGACACCAACCTTCTTACCCGGCCCAGCCCCGAATCGCTTTAGGGGGCTATAAACCGTGATGCCGGCGCAGAGCATTGGCGCAGCCTCTGAGCTGGTGATGGCATCCGGAATGGGGTACACCCTATAAGCTGATGTTAGCATCCGTGCCTGCCCCGGTCGTCAGATTGGCAGCCTGACCAGCTGTTGTGCAGCACAGATTTGGGTTTCTTTCTCCTTACCAATATTCATGAATTCGGGCATGTGATGAATAACCTCCCTGGGTCGTGTAGCCGGTATCCAGGTAGGGTGCGCCGTAGGCGTCAATCTGATGCTTACAATACGTCTCGTTGTCGTTCTTGCACTGTCGGCAATCCAGGCACGAATACACCTGGGCACCGCAACCAACACGCTGCCCAACGTTGGCCAAGGTGACCTTGGGTCCAACGCGCAGGACTTTGCCAACAACTTCGTGCCCGACGGCCAGCGGGTAAGGGCAGCCTCCCCAATCGCCACTTATTGTGTGCATGTCACTGGCACAGACACCACAGCATTCGATCTTGATGTCGACGTCGTAGTCGCCAAAGGGACGCGGGGTCCAGGAGTTCTTCTCAAATTCGAGCCATTTTTCGGCGGCTGGGGCTTGAAAGCCACTGAACTTGTCGGGATAGGACATTGTTCGTTTGCAACTAATATGAAGGTCAAGTTCAAAGTCGCGATATCAGCTGAGTGGATGACAGGAATGACTTGGTCGACACGGTTCTGCAGCGCCAGGCGGGTATGAGATTTAAAACTGGTTCAGGGAGCACGAGACGAAGCCAGGAGAAACGAACGGCGGGCTACCCATATATTAACCTACGTTCAATCCTGGAGAGCTGCCCCTCATCCTACGAGGACACACTTGCACATGAGGGGCACATTGTCCGTCTCGTGGGGAACAAGGGAGCCACCTCAATCGCCATGAATTACAGTCCAGATCTTGTTGCCCCAAGATCAAAACCGGCGTTGCGGCACGAGCGCGGGCACGGGCCCGGTCGTTGTGTCCAGGAAAGAAAATGAAGGGTTTGGACAGGCTCGGTGTCAAACTCCCCGAACCTGGAGGACCCTTTACCCCGCCATGACGACAGTGCTGCTGAATGGTGGCTTGATAATCCATTTCAGAGCACCGATTCTTCCACCAACAAAAAGCGTCGGATGCAAACAACAGCGGGCGCAAGTTGGACCTCGTCGATATCAAGGCCGGGCTTGGCAGAAATATGGCAGCATCACAGGTAGGAATGGAATTTTATTTTTTCCTCTTCTTTTTTTGCAAGAGCCTCCAGTCTTGTCGTTTCTCGACATGTATTGCTCAACATCCTCAATCTACGTACATAGTAAATGAATCTACATACTTACATGATGAATGCCACACCCGCCTAGCCTTGTCGTCTCTTTGAATCCCGCAACCCAACACCCGCGAGAAAACATATCCTCAACGCAGCCCCAGCATACACCCACGGCACGTTCCCCCAGTCCCCGGCATTCCAGCCAAACACATCGTAGTAGATGGCGGGCCCCAGCGCCCTCATCGAATACAAATGGCCAAAATCCGCAACCAGCATCACGAGCAGGACGGTCCTCCAGACGCGCATGTCCCACGTCGACCGCAGGACAAGAGCCTCGTTGACAGCAAAGAAGAAGTACATATTCGCCAGCTGGGACATGGCGACCGACGTGCCGAGTGGCAGGGCAGACGCGTCCGACGGGGCAGACGCGCCATGAAGCAGCGCCAGGTAGTCACTTTGGCGGAAGTGGTTGAAGTAGGCGCCCACCAGGGCCGAAACGGGCTCCAGAAGCAGGAAAAAGAGGCGGTAGACGAGGGGGAGGCGGAAGCCCTGGCGCTGAGTGGCCATTATGGATCGACTGGCTGGTGCGACGGAGGTGGTGAGGTCTCTGGTATTCTGTACGAAGTTACAATAAGAGCAAATTTCTCAGGTTCAAAGTTGGGGTTTGCGCTACCGGGTAGGTGGGCTGGTAGGCTCCCCGAGGGGCCGGGCCCGCACCGATGCTACAGCCCCAATTTTTGTTCCGAACCAGCCAGGCAGCATCACTCTCATACAAACTTGACATCGACCTCATCTCCAAGCTATTTGATCTTCACATATCCAAATCCCACGTACCAAATATCGCCCGCCAACTAAACAACGACCGCAGCCCAAAGGAACATTGAAGCAAACACCAGACCCAATCCCTCCAAAAAGCACCACACTTTAGGTAACCACATCCCAGGCCAAGGCCAGACACCAAGCACCGTCACTCTGTACGCAGCAACAAATGCGTCCAGTCGACGACAAGCTGCAAACGCAGGACCCCAAAGCTTTCAACAGCAAAGCAGCATTGTCCTCTGGTGCCATTCCTTCCATGCCCCGAGAGTGTCCCTGCGGCAGCTTCAATCAAGACGAAATAAATAGCACGAGCCCGCCATATCGTCGCACCCCACCGAACCACCTTATTGTGCATTGCTCCACGGTGAGCAAGGCGTCGAGTGTTCTTCTTTGCTGCATGTAGCCAAACAAATTAAAACAGGCTCATTTGGCGCCATGTTCTACGCCTGGTGAACATGAACAATTTATCTGTCTCTATTATTTGTTCACTCAGTCGCAGGTTGCACACCACCACACCGTGTCATCCAAGAGCTACGTCATTCGTGCTTGCACCAGCCTTGAGTCATTAAATCAAATACCTATATTGGAAAGCTACCTAGGTATATTGCAACAAACACATCGATATTCTGCTCGTCAGTCTACTGCCCCTGACGTGCGTCACTCGCAGCTGTCGCGCCGCAACACTTTTTGAATAGACAATCAAAACATGCCAAAAAGCTTCGTCACATCTCCAGCCCATATATATATGTGTATTGCTCATTTATGTTCAGGCATCGAGGTCGCAACGACAAACACAGTCGTTGTCCGAATAGCAATTGACAGATCGTCGCACGCCGCCGACGTCTCGTGCAACGTCTTCGTTGATGCGGCTGCATTTGCTACGCCAGCAGTCTTGTTCTGGCCAAGAGCATCCTCTCCAGGCCCCTGGCTTTCTGGTGGTAGCTTTTCGTCATCATCCTACGATGACGCAAAAGCAGCAATCGCGGCGCAAAAATTATTGCGGTTTTCAGAGTCTTGGATCGCTGCCTGTCCATTCAAGGTCACCATAGAGACGCTAGCCTTGGTGCTGATGCCGAACATGTGTAGCTCGGAATTCTCAATAGAGATCATCTCGTCTTGGCAGTTGTTGGCAGCTACACATTCCTGGGCGTAGTTATCGTAGAAGCTGTACAAGCCGCCGCCATACACAAAGACGTTGCGAGAGTTCTGAGCTCGGAGACCCCATGTGCGGGCACACCTAGGACCGGTGCACGTGGAGAAGTCGGGATCAGAGAACTGGCTGTTGACCTTGAATGGGACGCGGGCATCTGGGTTGCCCTGCATATATGCCGTCTCGGTTTGAATGAGTGACATGTAAACATTCTCAGCGTTGGTGAGCTGGTAGTTATAAAGCTGGTTGTGCTCAGAAGCCGTTCCCCACAGCCAGAGTCCCTTGGTGCTCTCGATGAGGACGCCACGACCGTTGTAAATGTTGATTTGGTTGTGGTCAGGCAGGTCAAGCTCATGATCGGCGACCCAGAACCAAGTGTTCTCGAAGTAGGCACTGGCATCCCGAGTAACATGGACCAACATGAAGGAGCCAACGCACCGGGGGTTGGGCGGGGCCTCTGTTTTGGGATCCTTGCTGCACTTGTCTGACTGGAGCTTAGTGCCAGTGGCGCCCGCAACGCGGAAGTGAACATCCCAGAGACCGACAGATCCCTTGCTTTGGCCAGCAACATTGACCTCCATAAGAATAGCGCCGGGCTGAGGGCCCTTAGTCGCAAGTACGAAGTCCTGCATTTCGATGTTGCCAGTGTCGCCAGGTTGACCGACTTGGAACACAGGCTTGGGATTTGACTCATCTGCGAAGTTCTTGCAGCCACCAGCGAGAATTAGGGGCCAGGACTCGCCAACAATCTTGACGTCCTTGGGGACCCTGACGGTATCTTTAATGACGTAAACACCATGGTCGATGTAAACAATTTCGTCCGAACGGATATTGTCGAAGACTTGCTGGAAGGCAGCGGTATCATCAGTCTTTCCGTCACCTTTGGCGCCTTGTGACTTGACAGAAATGAACTTGGACGCCGGAACGGTCTCATACTGAGGCTTGCTTTTTGTGACAATTTTGCCGGTGCTGTCGGTAAGAGCAGCAGGCTTAGGAACGGGACTTCTCGCATCCTGTCCGGCCTTGCCAGTTGCGCCTACATATGATCGGCCTTGCACCCAGGATTGGATGAGAGAATTGCCAGCTAGAATCGTCTGATTTCTGTCATTCTGGACGGCAACAGGGACGCCCTTGGTGGTGTCAACATTGTCCAGAACAAGAGTACCATTGGTGCCTGATTGGCTGGGTTTATAGGCGGTGCTGATACCGACACGAGTGTTGGAGATGGTGCTATCGGTAAGAAGAACGGACCCGACAGTCTGGACGCTGCCTCCGTTGGCCATGTTGATACCAACGTCGCAGTTGTCGATAGAGATGCCGTGCAAAGTCCAGACCCAGTTCCAGTTCATGAAGATGGCAGTTCCACAGTTGTTAAACTTGAGGTTGCGAGTGGTGAACTGCTGGTTGCCGAAAAATGCGCCAAGAGCACCACCGTTGAAGGTCAAGTCGCTCATGAAACCGCCAGATCCATTCTCCATAAAGATACCCTGCTGCTTGTTCTGGGATGATTTGCTCTGAACCATGTTGAACACAATGTTTTGCAGCGAGGTGGCCTGAGCAACTTGCCAGTGGATACCCGTACCAGTCTCTTGGCGAAGACCGGTGAGATCAATGACGAAGTTTCGAATTTGCCGAAAGAAGTTGTTTTGGTTGGTATGCCAATTGCTGCCGTCGCTTTTATAAGGATTCGAGTCGATAACGGCAATTCCCTCAAAGTTGGCGCTGGCCTTGAGAGTAGGCACGCTAGCAGCATCACCAACAAGCTGCGTATAGTAATATTGGATGATGGGCTTTGACACAAGGTAGGTACCGGGAGGAAAATAGACGAGGGCGGGAGTTGTGGTTCTAGAGTCGCACCCGTCACCACAGCGCCCCCCGTCCGAGATGGCCTTATTGATGGCGTCGGTATCATCGGTAATTCCATCGCCCTTGGCGCCGAACTCTGGGTCTTTCACGTTGCGAAAGACGGAGTAAGTTCCATTAGCAAAGGGCGCATTACCCTGTCGCTTTATGTCCGCCATCCACCAGCTTCCGTTGGTGGCAACATTGGTAAAGTTGGTCTTAACATCGAAGCCAGTTGATGGTGCTGCAAGTGAGGGCGAAGAAAAGAGTTGGAGCGTCAGCAGGGACGCTGAGACGAATGTCGACAGTCCCATGGTGAAATGGAATTAGCTGCCTGTTCGTTTGAAAGATGCGCGTGTCTTATGATCGACTGAGAGTTTCTGCGAGAAGAGAAGACTTAATAGTCAGCAATGATGGCCGTGGAAAGGATTGCGCGTAGAAGAGCTGGTGATGCAAGGCAGAATCTTGTGACGTTTGGGTTGTCACATTCAACGCAAGAGATGCTAGAAAGTCTGGATGCAGAGAAGAACGGACATGTGTACCAAATATACTTTGAGGGTAGTGGTAAACCAAAAGAGAGAAAAATCGCCAATAGGCCAACTGACGTTGAACCAGACCAAGTCAAGGATACAGTCAAACCAAACAAACGGACTATAGAGCAGAGCGCCTCATTATATACGACTGCTATGGACAGAGCAAGCCATGGAGCCGGTTTGAAACGTCCGCCCAAGTATCAATTGGAACATAGTGATTTGGGGGGGGGGGGGGGGGGGGCAGGATGCCGCTTGGGTTTATGACCAGCATCTTGGGAGGAACTACAGATGCAACTTGGGAGTAAATCCGGCCCTATTGAGTGACCTAGCTCTTGCACGGGACTTGAGTGCATCACATGGCGGGCCATGTCAATCCCACACAGCAAGACTTCTTGTGCAGGGGTAAATCGGACTGGAGGTTCGTCCTGGCCAAGCAGGAGAGCACCATGACCAGTAGCGTGACGACAGAATTGTGTGAGGTGGTTGGTGCGAGGGCGTACAACGACCAGGGGAACAAGGGGGGTCGGCGTATCAATACAGGAGTGCCAGATGAAGGCCAATCCATTCTCCACAACACCATGGCAGTCACTTGCCCGCGACAAAGGGGGAAGTTTTTTTGCAAAGTGCAAATGCACCCTGTCACGGCACTGCCAGACTATGAGTTCGCTCGTCGTGGTGATGGTCACCCGAGGAAAAGGTGCCGACGGTGGAAAGGATGCCAAGCGAATAGGCAAACGCAGCATTATGGACTCCAGAATGCTTTAATGGTGTGAGAGTGAAGAGCAAAGGGTGACGCAACGGAATGCAGGGAAGACGAGGTCCATTTGGTTCGAATCGTCCCAAGTCGGCTGGTAGGAAATGTGATGCAGTAAAGCACGGGGAAGGAAAACGTACCGATGCAATGCGCGGCCGCCAGGTAGGAATTAAGGAGCGAGAGAAGTGTTTGTCGAAGGCCCGAATCGGGGCCAAGTATGGAGTTGACGTTGGGGATTAAAGAGATTCGGTTGTTGCAAAAGCAGAGAACAGAAACGAAAGAAAGAAAGGCCTGAGAGACTGTGAGAGAAGCGAGTGTGTGTGTATTGAATGGAAGTCGATGAAGTTGCGCCGCGGCACCAGCTTGCAGAGGGAAGGAATCAACGGCGGGCTCTTTCTTATTATGTCTGGTGTAACCCAATAAAACTGGCGGCTGCTGTGCTCACATCTCATTCGTCCATGGCCAAGAA